GTGATCCTAAGCATGTTCTGGTAAGCACATTCAAGATGGAGATACTAAGAACAGCTGTGAGCTGTGAACTCAGAGTTGTATTACAGCAGCTAAATTGTCTCATTTCTGGCATTTGTCATGAGCAGAGCATGCTTCTTGGTGGTGCTCCTGGGCTCAGCACAGAAGGGGGATGTAGGCAAGCTTTGAGTTTTCCCATCTGTAGAACATAGTCTTATCTACATCACAGAGTTGTGAGAGTTCATGTCTGTAAAATATCTTGGGATCATTGGATGGAGAGAGCTATCATGATGTAACATACCGTTGAACAACATAAAAAGGTTCATCTTCTATTAAAAATACTAGTAACCTTCCCCTTCCACTGCCAAGACTCATTGTATAAATAAAAAGATCGGTTTCTGAGCCTGCAGTGAAGTGTGACATAATCAAATGCAAGGGAAAAAGTAGGTGCTAAAATAATTTCTGCCAACTTACTTCCCAGTGGTGGGAAAGTCAGGGAAAAACAAAAGCTACCTTTCTAGTCTGACTCCCCAACATTCTAACCGGCCTTTAAGCTTGAATTGGATTTTCAGTGTTTCAATCCCCTAGAAGCCCATGTGGCAGGATGACAAATCCATTGCCTAGCTGCCTTTTACATTGATCTTGCAGATTCATTTGCAGAAAGGTCAGTGAAGGGAATGGCTGCTTGGGGACATCAGCATCTAGATGCCATTTATAAGGAAAACAGTTGTGCAAGTGGGAAAAATCCATGGTAGCATAGAAGCTGGGTGGTGTGAAGACGGAAACAAAGAAAAGAGAGTAGGGAGGAGGGTGGGAAATGAAAATATCATTTTAAATATATTTTTCTGCCTAAAAATATTCTACTAGCACTGAACTGAATGTTACTATAAGAGATCAGTTTATCTCCTTAAATGAACCATGATAGGAAAATAACAAGATTGATAACAAATAAGAGAAAAAATGCCTGAAACAGCAAGAATAAAAACAATCTGTTACTTAAAGAAAAAAAACCCCTTACAACAGAACACCCCCCAAAATAAACAAAACCTACTCTATCTTCTGTTCGCTGCCTCTTACTGCTCCTCCCACCACCAAAACCAAACCAAACTTCCCTACCAGTCTTGGGTTTATTGATAGACCCCGGCTACTGCTAATCCTCACGTTTCTTTTAACACAGTAGAGGAAAACTCCTATAGTTGTAGTTCTTTATACAGAAGGCAACCTGTAATTACCCACTCAATACAATTAAAATCTTTCTCTCCATTAAAATGAAAACATTGAATTCTTTCCTGCCAAGAGAATAAGTTACTTGCCTTGCTGTCCTTTATTTTTAAAAAATCCTTACAAAAAACATATTATTTCAGAAAAAACAATCAAAAGCTACAATATTTGAAACAATATGACCACCTGAATTTCCCTAAAAGACCACTGTAACTTCAAAACTGACATTACCTTCCAAGATATATGCATGGATCTACCCCTAGTCCACAACCATGCCTCTCTTATTAATAGATGTAGACAAAAAGGAAAACTACAAGCCTTCACATATTTTTGAAAGGGAGGAAAAAAGATTATGTATAATTCTCCATGGGGATTTTTACCCTATTTTCCTAAAATAAAGCCAAGACCTATGCATGTAACCCAGAACTGTTTGATTGATTCTTGCACTTAACACTTTAATGTTCTTAATAATCAATCTACAATCAATTAACTTCCATTAGATTTAGTACAACTAAACTAAATGTCCAATTAAGCATACTTAGAAGATATATTGGCCAGGTACAGAAATTACACTTATTGTGCAGTAAGCACGCAGAAAGTGCTCTACAGCTCTAACTGAACAGACAGTCAGGGCACATAGAGCGCTGTAAAAATGGTGGATCCTGCTCTAAGATAACTCTGGATGGATGTGGTTTCAGACTCCAGCGCTATAGGTTAGAATGCCGTTACAAACATCTGTACCAGATCCCATTGCAACTGATATTAGGTCACATTTCATCAGCAATCTGTGGGGCTTTGCAGCACCCCGCTCACCCCTCGCTCCCAGGTCAATGATCTAGCCTTGGTCAAAGGTCATGTGGTCTTTCCAACCACCAGGATGGCCCCGCCCTGGGCTGTCACTGACAACATTTAGCAGAGCCTCTGTTTCCAATTCCACTCCCACTACCTTGTTCCCTCCAGACAGCGATGAGTCACTATTTGGTATTATCACTTAATATATGGATTCCATCTTCCCCGTCTGGCATTTGTAAGGATTGCAACTTTCATTTAAGTGCCATACTGTTTGCTAGACAACAAATTAGCACAGGGGGCTATCCAAAATGTTCATATATTACAATGTTGTTTTGAAGTTTCATAGTTTCATAGTTGAACAGATATTAGGGGCTGGAAGGGACCTTACAGATCATCGGGTCCAGCCCCCGTGCACTGGGGTGTCTGTATCCAGCTCTCGGTCTATTCAGCTTTACCCACAATTCACTGTCAAGGTCATGCCCAATGGGGGACTTATTTGGTGTTGGTATAAAATCCTATAAGGAATAGATTTCACTGTGGATTACTCTGAACAATCATTTCATTTCCATTCACCCACCCCTTATCTAAAATTAGCACAACACACAAGGCCACAGTACCTGGTGTGCTGGGCTTAAGCTGGCGGGTGCTAGAGCACAGCTTTCTGGCACGTAGCCATCAATGGCTATGTGTTCACTTCCACTTCCTGCTTCCCCAACATCTCTGGGATTTGTAGTCCAGATTTACAGCAGCAGGGTTACTTATCACTTCCTCTTCCTGCTTCCAGGTGCCTCTGGGATTTCTAGTGCTCAGTCAGACCAGCAGTAAATTTGAGTGGGGGAAGGGGTGTTTAACCCCACCCCACCCCCTTCCTGTCCCCAGGCATCAGTCAGGGTTTGCTTGGGGGGGGCACAATTCTCCCACCTCCCTTGCAGACAGGGCTGCATCCCCAGCCAGACTTGCCCCCCATCTTGTCAGCCAGCCCTCACTGCTCCAGGTAGGGAGCAGAGGGGCAGAGCCAGCCCTGCTGTCTGGAGTAGACTGCATAGCACAGTCCAGGCCTACAAAGCATGCTGGGATGCTGGGGGACTGTGATTGAATTTGAACCAGAAAGGGATCTGGGACAGAAGGTTTATAAACTGGTTTGACTCAAATCAGTTAAGTCTGATATTACATTCATCCAGATTTATCTTAAACCAGTTTCAGCCATTTTGAAACTGGCTTATATGCACTGAACTTCTGTTCTGTTACAGGTTTAAACCAGTTTCTGATCACTTAAACCAGTTTATGTGTAACTTCTGTCCCTAGGCCTGGATTCTCCATGGGTCTAGAAACCCAGCAGTAGGAGAGCTGTTAGAGTCTGTCTTCTTATGTCACTTGGTCTAATGTCTGAAGTGCAAGGAATATATCTGTGTGTGTGTAAGTTGTGCAGCCCATTGTGATCCTGGCTTTCTCTGTTTAAAAATCCCAAATTCTCTGGTTAAAAAAATCAAAATCCACATTTTTCCACAATTAAAATGAAACACATATATGGATATGGACATGGATATATATACATATATGTATCAGTTGAACACAATGTTTTATTAATATATTTACAATTTTAAAGCAGTTTGGAAGCTAACCAGTGCCTCAATGATTATAATAAAATAAATTCTAAATACCTATATATTTTGGCATTTGATTTGGTTTTTTTATCATGGAAAATCAGAGCTCCCCCTGACCACCTCACACACCAGGATATGAATCCAGCTATGGCTGTCCACAGCATGCATGCACACACATGTGCACACGAGCATGCACACACATGCCACGAGCATGCACACACATGCACATGGCATCCCCTGTGTCCCAATTCCCTCATCCCCAAGCAGCCCTTGCCGGCTGGGACTCTGCCAGCCTGCAAGGGGAACCCCCCCAGTTTCCTGCGGGGGAAGGGAGGGAAGGAGAGTTGTCCTTTACAGGAGGAAATCCACATTTTTTTCTGTAGCAAATGGAAAACCTGGATCCTTGATTCTGAGTCTTTACATAGTGTTAAGTACAGCATTGAGCATTTTAGCATGACAATTTCTAGACCATGCAAGAGCACAATAATCTGCTGGAGTATATACCATGCAAGTGAGGTATTTCTGAGCACTTTGAAATTGGCATACTATGTTGTGCTGGCTGAACATTATAAGGCAGCTACTGAATGCAGTGTTTATAGGTGAGGGAACAGTCTAATGAGACTTCTTGGTAAGTTGGGGTATGCTCATGGGGATGGCTGTGGCTACCTACTCTGATATTTAGCATGCTCTTGGCTCAATGATTGTCTAGGTGGAAGAGTGATAATATTGATTGATTGATGCTTCTCACTGACCTTGTGCCTTTCAAACAACCCCTCCAAAAACCATGCTACTGGCCTGCAATGAAGCTGAGGGTCAAGGGTCGGTACCCGCTACTGTTGTTGGGGGCTTATCAGTCTGTGTTACATTGAGTGGGTAAATTGACAACTGTCAATTTGTTAAATTGACAATGGTTAATTGTCAACTGTCTGCCCATTCCTCAAGGTCATGTTGCTTTCCTGAGAGAGGCCAATGTGTTTATGCAGATCCACCTAATGCAAACCGGGACCCAAACACACTCCCAAAGACACTGAAAGGCTTTTTTCAAGCCCCACAGCTGAGATGGTACAACAGTCACAACTCTGAGTTTCACTAGCATGCTTCTGGCTGCTGTGTGGCAGAGCACCTACTTATGAGCACGGATGCAGGTAGGGTGTAGTGGGAAACAGGAATTTTCCCTAGCAACCCACCTGTGGCAGGGCACTGTTTGTGCCTGCCACTTTAAGGGCCAGAGGCAGAAGCTGGCAGGTGCCTGATGAGGGCAGCCATTTTGAATCCAGTGCTGCCCCTATAAACAGGGCCACTCAGGGCAGCTCTGCTGCTGGAGGCTAGGCAACAAGATTGCCTGGCTGGAGGGCTGCTGGTATCATCTGGAGGAATGCCCAAGAGCTGAAGGCCTGGGGTTCTGACTGGCCTGGAGGTGAGCCAGGGATAGAGAACTGAAGGTCCGGGTGGTGGGACTACACCCGGAGGGGGAAGCAGTTCAGGGAGCTATGCTGCCTAATATGAAGGTGGATGAGACTGCCTGATGAGAGGATTCCAGGTTGGGGTTCAATCAGGAGGATTCTGGGGCCCAATGTGGTGGCCGGTGATTAGAGGAACATCTAGATGCCATCTGCGAGGCTTGTGCTGCAGTATAGTGGAGGGATGGAGCCGCAGATAGCTCCTCTTGTCATTGGGGCATGAAATGAGCAGCCTCCCGCTTAATTAACATCTATTAATTAATTATAACAACAAAGTGTGGCGAGAGAGAACCCGGGCGGTTAGCCCAGAAACAGGTAGGCCGGCCACAGGGAAAGTGACTCTGAGCAGGCCCCCTGTTACACCACCCCACCCACTTTCTCCCTCCCTTTTCCCCCTTAAAACTGGAGAAGACTCATCCCTCTGGCCCTGGACACTTGTGTTTCCAGCCCTCCCAGCTCCCATAGTAGGGGGATAGAGCCTAAGCATCTGGGGGGATTTTCCAATGGGCAAGTACAACACAGGCCTTCTATGGCATGAGCAGCTGCATGGCTTCTGGCCCCGGGTGTGGGGAAAGGGTCCAAACAGGGAACTCACCAAAGGTCCCTCAGTTTCTCCCTTGTCCTCAGACTCTGCGTTTGTGTATAGGAGGCCTGGTCGTGAAGCCTGAGATGCTGGATCCAGGATGGTTAGCCAGGCACCTGAAGAGCACTGGAGGTATGTGCATAGACCAGGGGCGGGCAATTATTTTGGGCAGAGGGCTGCTTACTGAGTTTCGGCAAGCCATCGAGGGCTGCATGACAGTCAGCCCAGGGCAGATTAATATTAATTTTCTAAATTTTTTAGGGGCCCCGTGGGCCAGATAGAATGGCGTGGCGGGCCGCATCCAGCCCCTGGGCCACATTTTGCCTAGCCCCGGCATAGACAGTGCTAGCAGAATGAGGACCAAATGGGACCCTTGATGTGGGGGGTTGGAATGGACAGATTAGTTACTGCTTGCACCCACACTGCTGTGGTGCTTGAATAAGCCATCCAGGCCCAGGAATGTGCTGCTAAGGTCTAAGAATGAGGTCTATAGATGGCCACCTGCTGTTTGAAGGAGGCCACCCTTGTTGCAATATAACTGAGGGAGTCACAGTACCAGGATAAGGAATTTATGCATGAGGTCATAGACTACTTGGGATCTAGCTACGACACCCCGGAATCAGTGCCATCCCCCCACGTTCTGGTAAGTGGTCGTGTGGCCAAAGCCGAATAGTTTTCTCTGGTGACAAGTTTTCCAGGTTCTCCCCTGACAGAGGAGGACAAATGTAATTAGCCAGCTCTAAAATATGAGTATCACTAAGCATTTCAAATTGGCATTCTTAAACTTTCTTCCTCACTACTGCTTTCATAAAACTGCATCGTGTATGTCTTTATTTTCATGTACATTGATATATTTGTTTTACCTGAAATTAAGAAGCCAATTTTTATGATATGCTGAAAATTAGGATTTACATGTTCTAACTTCTGGGATATTACACTTAGCTACACAACACACGATTCACAAATGAATCAAAAGGCCGTAGACAACTCTCATTCAGGGATAATGAAACATGAAATGGTGTTTTGGAATTAAATTTATTCAGGAATAAGGGGTTTTCAAAATGCAAAAAAAATAATTAGTAGTGAAATTGTTGAGCAAAACTACAAAGTATGAATTCCCAGTTTAACAGATAGAAGGCAAATCATTTTTTGTTTGGTTGTTTCCCAATTTCCATATACCTTTGTTTCCAAAAAATGAAAGTAATTGGTATGACTTCATCTGGATAAGACTTCTTAGACTTTACACATGACATTTACCCAGAAAGAAACACAACCAGTTCTGTGTTGCATTTAGTTAAACTAGATTGGCTTCAGCCCTCAGTTATATCCTAGAAATAGTGTCACGGCACTAGTGTAACAAACAGCAGAATCCAGTCCAAATTCTATTTTACTTTAACTGGAACCCACTTTTGGAATGTTATCTTTCCATTTCTGGGCACCGCTCCTCCTGCCTGAGGTGGAGATCAGCTGGGCTGTGGTGGGCCAGGGGGAGAGTGCTGCTGTAAATATTGGCTGCTCACATGTGTGTATGCCTCACATAGTCAGGCATCACCCTGACTATTGTGTCCTGGACAGTAGCCCACATTGCCTACCCCTAAGACTAGCTCTGCTTTTGAACAGGGGCCATGAAACTATTTAGCCAGAACACTCTGAACTTCCTGGTAAACTTTGCTTTTTGTTTGCCCCATTAAACTTGTGGTGTGATGCACAAGGCACAGACTTACAGTTTGCATTCTTTTTTTTTTCTCTTCTTCCTTTTTTAAGCATTAATTCAAGATCGTACAGGTGTTTACATAATATGTTTACTTATACTCATAAAGCTAACGGGTTTTGAATCCTGTACATTCAGTATGGTGCATGCTTTTGCTGTTAGATAATTCTCTGAGGCTGTGTTAATCTCTCACTGTAAGCTTCCCAAAGCAGCTATTTAATTGCCTCAGCTTCAATCTATTTAACTTTTCTTGTGGTGAAATTTTCATTTCTGTCACCTTGTGATTTAGCTTCTTGCCTCTCTTGCTAAATGCTCTAGGAGCAGTGTTAAGGTTATTTGGTTCTTGCAGCTAATGAAAATTGCAGTACATGGGTATCTGATCATGAAAAATGTGCTAAGTTAGTTACCAGAACTGCGTAGTTAGTAACTTTCATTGCTGCTTTCATATTTTTATTATTCCCTTTTTATTTTAATGTGTTCCTTGGAGTAGCACTTAACAACAATACTGTTACTTAACGATGTTCTTAGGTATGGAATACCACAAATCAAAAATTTTCACCGTGTTTCTTCTGAAATATTTATTTTTTCTCCTTGCTTTAGGAGCTTACGTGTAAAAATGAGCAGTTTGTAAGTGTCCACTTCACAAAACCAGTATTAAAAGTGACATCAAGTGGCATCCCCTTTGGAATGTTCTCAGATCTGAAAAGTCAAGGACTGAATGGAGATGTAAGGTTCATCCACTTCTTACTCTTTACAAAGTGTAACTGCTGTGCGTAAACCAAGGACATTAATCTTGAAGCTGTCAACCCAGCTTCCTTATGAGTGTACTCGTGGAAAAAAAAAATTTAAAAATCTGTTTTTGCTGATGTTGTGGTAGTTGAAACCAAATACAGTGCCTCTCCAATTTATTTTTAAAACTATTTGTACCACATTTTCCTATTTTAATTCTCAGTGGGGAAACAGAATATTATCCATTATCTATTATTTTTGTCTCGGTATATTCAGCAAATTTTATTTTGGGTATTTCAAGACACAGCCTTCCCTTAGTTTTTTTGGTTGTACTCATTGAGCCTTGCATTTATTAAAGTTGCAGATAGTTTTGCTTGTAAGTATTTATCCCTTCCATCTCCTTTAGAATTCTTACTACCTAAATGAGCTAATTTCTTGATCCCTTCTAATCCAAGAAATACAAGATTGTAGTCAATTCTGCCCACAACTATACCCTCATTTGAAGTCAGTAGGATGATTAAAATGTAAGTAAGGACAGAATTTGGCTCTAGTCCTGTGAATTTTGGAATAGAGGAACCTAAGAGGTACCCTCATGAGGTATAAAACTTTGTAATATTCATGAGCTCTTACTACTTATATGCAAGCAAGTATGCAGGGGTGTGTGTGTGTGTGTGTGTGTCTATGTATACAAAGTAGGAGCTCATAAGCCCTACCTTTTTACATAAGAATTAAGTTTCTGTGGGACTGGAGGTCTTTGCAAACAGGGTACAAATAAATTTTCTTCATAAACCTTTGTGTGGGGAAACTGTTTGACCTTTGTTTCAGGTAAACCCCACAGGACCTACTTGTTGCACGTTTTCTTGTTGGTGGATGGTGTGAAAAATCCAGGGTTTAAAAAAATGCACATAGATTTAAATGCCAGAGCTCATTTCACTTCCATCTCCCCAGAAAGAAACTAAGCCAGGTTCTGGAAGTGAAAAATCAGAGACAGAACCACAACTATGCCACCTGCTTTTCTTCCCCTATCCCCACCAGTATGAATCCACTTTCTGTACTGCTGCATCCTTATAAAATATTCTGCCACTCAGACATTCTTGGTGATGTTTGCCAAACACTTAAGGCCAGTGAAGAAACAGGAATCATTAGAAATGGGAAAGAAAGATGCAGCTCAGCTATAGGAGTGAACAGGAAGTTGAAATATATGCAGTATAGTGGCTCACCATCTCTTGAAAAAAATGCAGTGCTAAGGGGGACCAAGCGCACTGGGTATTATTCATGTGGGTTACATCTTGCCTTTTGGTTAAGACTACCTGGTGATAGCAGCCCAGCTGTGTGGGAGTGAATCATCCACAAGAACCTATAGGAGCAGAAAGACTTGAACTAGCAAGTAGCCCATTGAGCACACCTCATATGGGCATGGAAAAACAGTGTGGGGCAGGGAGGCCCATCCAACTATCCCAGACAATCCTGCTCTCCCTTACTTAGTTTCCATATCAGAGCTTTTCTTGCAGTTGAAACAAGAGTCTGCATTATGCAAAATCTGACAGTCCCTTGTATCTTGAGCTCATTCAAGCTATGCAATTGGGGTAATGCCTCTAACATAAGCAAGTTTATAATTTGCCCAAGGGAGCAAGATGCATTTATTTTCTATTCCCTCACCCCTTTCAAAATTCAGGCATTTGACATTTCTCTTAGCTACTCTCATATATATGTGTGTGTGTGTGTATGTATATGTATATATGTATATATGTATATATATATATATATATATATATATATATGTATACTACTCTCATATACTCTCATGATCCAAGGCCTGGAGGGCAGGCCATACAAGGAGAGGCTGAGGGATTTGGGACTCTTCAGTTTGGAAAAGAGAAGGCTCAGGGGGGACTTGGTAGCAGCCTACAAATATATAAGAGGGGTACAGCAGGACGTGGGAGAGTATCTGTTCACCAGAGCTCCCCAAGGGATGGCAAGGTCCAATGGCCATAAACTCCAGGAAAGCCAATTTAGACTAGACATAAGGAAAAAGTTCTTTACGTTGCGTGTGCCCAGGGTCTCTACTTAGGTGAATTTTAGAACTTGACTACTGGGCTTTGCTCGGTTGAATTCTGAATGGATTTGGTTGTGAATTGGATTTTTTTTTAAAAAGTAGGTTCCCATCAGTGTGGTTTTTTCCAATCATGTTTTATAGACATGTTCAGTGTTGTCTTCATTTTATCAGCTTGGTTTCCATCACTGAGCATGTGCTGCTTTTGGCAACAGTATAATTATAGAAAATTTCTTAATGAGGTTTCCTTGTATGCAAATGTAAGATAAGGAGCTTCCCCCCCATGCTGATTGGGAAGGCAAAACTTCATCTTGCATCCAAGTAAATATGGTGTTTTCAAGTATGCAAACTCCTAAATTATTGAATTAAACTATGAGATCTTGGCCAACTCCTAGTTCTGTTGAAGTCAATGGGAGTTTTCCTACTAACTTCAAGTAGTTCAGGATTTTAAACTATTATCCTGACAATGAATCTATTTCTGTCAGAAATCAGGTAGAGGCCAGATATAACTTCTATGCCACCTGTTTTATGGTTTCAAAGGTACCAAAAATACCTAACAATATAATAATAATAATGTGAGAAGAAGTTGAAAGCAGCAAAAAAGCATAGAAGATACAGCACCTGCCAAGACTGGTCTAGTTTTAACATGTCCAGAAAATGAGGTTGCAGGCAGAACTATTATTCCTGTGAATACATGGTGTTCCTGGACAACCTGATAATCTCCTGATATAAGAGGTTCCTTTCCTCCCTTAACAGTCAAATTTTTTCATTGCTGGGATTAAGTGTTTCCTTGAATGCATTATTGCTATATTTTCATTTTCCAGTGCTCAGTGTGAATGCTCATTTGAATGATACATTGCATGTATCCACCTCGCTGAATATTGTTGCTCATTATTATGGTAGAGTTGCCTTGCAAGGTTTTATAAGTGCATTTCTGTAATCTCTGCTTCACACCTTGGGTCAAAATGTACTCCTAATTAAAGCGAAAAGTATTAAATTACAGCATTCTCTGCTTAACTTTCCAAGATTTCTATCTCTGGCAAATCCCTGTTTGTGCAATTCTTCTGGAACAGCCTCATGGGAAATAGTGTTGTGACTAGAATCTCCACAAGAATCAACTGAGTAGCTCGGGAGACAGAACAAGGTCCAAAATCTGAACAACAGAGACAAAGTTGCTGATGTGGATAGACAAAAAACTTGAAACAAGAATGGTCAGTTGCTTAACAAGAGGCAACAATTACTTTAAAATTATCATTCTTATGTTTTGCAAATGCAGTTACATTTGCAAAACATAAGCTCCTGAACAATAAAACTCTGATTTGTGAAGTCCATTATTTATCCACAGGAAAAATGTAACATGGAAGTAATAAGAACTTTCTTATTTGTATCATCAATCCAGAAATGGACTTTCCTTCTGATTAAGAAGGATCAGAACCAACTTGTAGAAGTTTCTATGTCCAGTCAATTTAGATTAATTTGCATTGATGATATTTCTGATGTGGAAAGCAGCGTAGATATGCAGCTTTAAACTAAATAAGATCTATAATAAGAGCAAAAGCTTTCATGAACCAAAGTTCATTTAATCAAATGCTGGGAAAGGGCATGCAGAAAAGAGAGCGTAAAGTGGAATGAGTGATTTAGAATACAATAGGAAGGAAAGTGAGAGGGAGAAGGGAAGAAGAAGGAATATGCAGAACATAACCAGTAAAAACTGGACAGGGATAACCAAGCTACTGGTCATATAATGCCAAAGAGAATCGTTGCTGCTGGAGCTGGATTTAACTGGCAACCTGAAGATGAAAAGCTATTTTTTCATTACCAATCGGTATTTCATTACCAATCCTCTGTACATTCCAGTCCCCGTGAGATAGAAATTAATGCCACAGCAGTAAAAAGAAAGGAAAATCTCATTTTATATGATCCATTATGGATCTTATGCCATAATATTTCAGGATAGACATTATTTTTTCCTTTATAGTTTTGTTATTTTTATATTGATTTTCATTTGATTTTACTGATTTGACTAGCTCAGTGGTTGAAGCTGTAAAGGGAAATAGATCTGACTATAAAAAACCAAATCAGTCTTCCAGTGATGCTTATGTCCCAGCTCTGAATTAACAGGCAGTAGGCTTAGGTATCAGCAAATCTGTTTTTTGATTTGCTGTTCTCTGGTTTAGGTCTATAGTCTTACGAGCTGCAAGCATTACCTATGGCATTTCCTTGATGTAGATATTTATATTTAGGTTCTATCCTATTGTTCCTTGCTTAGTTGCCATATCTCAGCTTTCCTTGCAGTTGAAGCAAGAGTCTGCATTATGCAAAATCTGACAGTCCCTTGTATCCTGAGCTCATTTAAGCTATGCAGTTGGGGTAATGCCTCTAACATGAGCAAGTTTATAATTTGCCCAAAGGAGCAAGATGCATTTATTTTCTATTCCCCAACCCCTTTTAAAATTCACACTTGACATTTCTCTTAGCTATTCTCCTATATGCCTTTACTCTTGCCTCTGCCACCCATTAATTGACACGTCATGGAAATTAGAGATGTAAAAGAGCTTTCTACATCATTGGGTTCATCCACAGGCCAAGGCAGGATTTTCCCAGAAAGAGGATGATTACATCATATATAAGTTCAATAATATACTTACTTTACATAATGTGAATAGTGCAGTGTTACCCACCAGTCAGAAAGTAATTCAAAAGAAAAGAAAAAAAACCACACATGGATTTTTCTTATAGCCAACACTGAAAGCATTTTGCATTTTCATTCAGTTTTACTAAGCATGCAATCTTGCTGGATTACTTTGAGAACTAGAGTACTGGAAATGGGATAAAATGTAATAGTAAAAAATCAAGGTCATGCCCTTGCAGACTAGACTGCAAAATTTCTGCTATGTCCTTGAAGGTCATCAGCTGCAAGTGACGGAAGTCGAGAAGGACCTGTGTTATCAGTCAATTGCAAGATGTATATAAGCAGCCAATGTCATGCAGGCACAAACAAAGTAAATGTGATTGTAGGCTTTTACAGGTGAGGTATATTTAGAAAAGATAGGGAAGTACAAGTAGCATTGTTCAAGGCCTTGGTGACACTCATCTGGAACACTGTGTATGATTCTGATCATTGTGCTTATGAAAGATGGCATTGAAAGTAAGACAAATGTAGAGAAGGGGCTATTACGGTGAACAGGGAAATGAAATACCTACTTTACAAGAAGAGGCAGAAGAGCTTGGCAAAATAAAGGCTGATTGGAGATCTGGTTGCGGTCTATAAATAGCCCGGGGTAGGGGAGGGAGGGGTAAACCTGAGAGACGAAGTAGTAGTATTTAAGCTAAAGCAAATTGTCTTACAAGAACAAATAGATATAATCTTTGCACAAATATATTCAGGCTGCATACAGCTGTTCATTTCTTTAAGAAGAAATTTCTTCCAATAGAAAAATAGTTGGGGATCTGGACTGTACAAGTGTTCCTCCAGCCCTATAGCTGGAGAGCTTCACAGGTAAGCTTGCCAGCCAGGCAGCACTAGAGAGCTGTGTCCTGAACCATTCCTGCCCATATGAGAGTCTGGGAAGGGGACAAGCTGTCAAGTGGCACTTACCAACTGTTGAAAAGCAGCAGCTGCTAAAGATAGCTAGGGAAAGTTCCTGCCCAGGGCGAATGCACCCCAATTCCACCAGTCAGCTGATTGGCAGGAGGGAGGAAATTGTCCTGTGTTGGGAACCTTCCTGGTTTGCCCCGCCCTTCCCTGCCCTGGAGAATAGCCCCACTTCTTGCACTTCTCTGAGCTGACTCAGAGGAGTGTATGTAGGAAAGAGACCACTCATCCACTGCGGCAAGTCTCTGGGAGCCTTGCAGCAGGAACAGAGAAGCCTTTCTCACCTTGCACTGCCCTGGGCTGGCCCAGAGCAGCATGGGGCAAGGCAGAGACATTGTGAAAAGGCAGAAAGGAT